CCCCCCCCCCCACCGGGGGGGGGGGGGGGGGGAGGGGGCTTGTTTTCGTATTTTTAAAACTCAGATGTGAAAGCCGGTGGCCAGGCTTTGGATGATGGAAGACACCATCGTCTACTCGAGCACGGAAGACAATGTACATCAGAGTGATGTTGCAATAGTCATGTTTGCCATGTTTAGATAGTTGGAGGCCAAGCAGCGACAGAATGACAACATCCATTTTCTACTCACATTCATTTCATGAAGACCTCAATGATCCTGGTGCATATACCAACTAATGATGAGGAAAAAGAAGAGAAGGACAAATTCTACCAGTAGTTGCAAAATATTTTGGATGAAACACCAAGGTATGATATGCTTTTGGGTTCTCTAGGCGCCTGGAATGCAGAAGTTGTTGACCAACAACAAGTTGGAGATCAAGAAGGAGTTGTGGGAAAGTATGGCTTACAAGGACAGAAAAAAGAGAGTAGTTTGTCAGTTTACCATTAAGTCCAATGTTATGTCAAGTGTTGCTGTAAGAATGAGAACCCTGGAAAACGACTTATTACTTTTAACAGTTGGAAATAATTGGACGTCTTCCGACTCCAGAGCATAACACGAATATTTACTCAAGACCTATTGGCCAACGCCCTTGACAATGCAACCGAGGAAGTTAGGCGAAGTGTACGCATGATTGGAACCAAAATATTAGATAGCAGCAATTCCACAGCGACAAACCGTTGAGTGGTGCCCGATCACGCCGTTGTAGACCTGGATCAGTACCAACCTCGTTCCCAGGGTTCTCTCCTACCCGCCCTACGGAGCGAGAGAGAGAGAGACACTGGAAAACGCTGGTCACGTGTCTCTCAGAATCTGGGAGATTACAAATAAACGATTTCGGGGAGGGGCAGGTGAGTGTGAGATTTGTCTCTACAGAGCGCAGACAGGTCAGTGCAGCCATGAAACTGTATACCTGACTTGATCTTAAACGCCGAAAACAGTAATGCACAAAATCTTTGAAAGCGAAAGCGTAACTTCCTGCAGAATATCTGGATGTTAATCGGATGTTTATCAGCGATGCTTTCATTTGGCACATGCAACGGAAATCGCGGAGGATTCACCGTTTGTGCAGCCAAAAATAATTTAGGTATCCTGGTAGTTGCCCCAGCAGGGATTTCGTCCAGAAGGCGAAATCCCGAGGAGACACTGTAGTAACTTGCGCGTATGATATTAAGGAAAGTACTTACAGTTGAAATATACAGTCATACAGTCAATATAGAAAAAATCTCGATTTGCTTCAACAGTGGCCGCGAGGAATCGGTAGGTAATGATGACGTTTCTATTGTTTGCGCTCGCAAGTACGAAATGATTAGGATGACGTAAAGACAGAACATCCCCAAGGGACCGCTTAGGTAGATTTTGTGACATTTATTGTGCAGTCATACTTCGACACTCTTTTGCGTTACGTGTTATCAGTGACATTCTGTGGAGCAGTTGTTTCAGTGAAAGTTATGGACCAAAATTGTAACGACACTCGTTAAGAGCAGAAGAAGTTATAAGGTGCGTATAACTGTGTATATATAAGCACTTGGAGAGTTTGCCAGACACGAGTTCACAAATCTTTCATTGCATGGAAACCTTGCCAGACACTCTTTCTCTCTCTTTGACCGGAATAAGACCCAGCCCCAAACAAGCAAGACGAGTGAACAACTGCTAGGTTCTCACTAGAAGAACGATGGACGATTACAGAAATTCGCCGACAATCAAATTCTGTGCTGACTTATTCCCTGCTCACCGATGTCCTCCGCTATAAAGTTTAAAATAAGACTAGAATGCGCGAGTGTGAATTGATCAAACGTCCTTTTTTTTTCTAAGGCTTCCTTTCCGGCAAATAAAATGAACTGAATGTGAAAAGTGAAAGAGAAATAGCGAAAAATTCAACTTCTAATTAAATCTTTTCTTATGGTTTAGAATAAACTCTTCTCGAAACTGAGAATGTTTTGATCAAAGCTGTGTAACTCGACCTCTTATCTTTCTCGGCCAAGAATTAAGTAAATATATATCTCCAATTCAAAGGGGACAGAAAGCAAATTCTTGTTGCTCGAAATATTTATATGTCGTAACTGTTCATCCATCGAGAGAAATCGTCATTGTTCTCGGGAAATTTACTTACAGTCGGTGAAAGATCTGTCATATCGCTTATTGTTATTCTAGAATGCTGAACAGAAGTAATCTTTTTCATTGGTTACCATGAAGTAGGATGCCTAAAATGTGTGCAATTTTACAATTAGTTTCGGATCCATTTAACCCAAGCCGAAATTAAAAAAAATAAGAGTGCAACCATATTGCTTTTTCCTCCTCTCTTCTTTCTTCCTCCTCGCTTCTTTCTACTTTTCGTTTGCTTTTCCTTTGCTAGTGTGATTTTTGAGCTTATCACGCGCAGAAAAACCCTGCCTTTTGGCCCTCCGCTTTCTCAATCAAGAATGCAATGGCGGCAAAGTGTGCTATCTATGGTTCGTTTGTAAAAGATCGGCGAGATATATTAAGACACAGTAGTACGTATCAGTTAAACGCAAGGTATGATTCCGAAAATACCAACGAACGTAAAGTTCTTATAGTCTCATCTCTTGGGGCAGAACAGGTTCGTTTTTGGAAAATTAAACCGTGAGGAATCCTTCACTGCTAGTTCGGGGGAAACCAAGTTTAAATTTATTAAGTTCATAAAAAATGTTGGCAATTGTCGAGAAAGAAGAAACAAAATCCTGACTTCCTGACGAGATTTTTTTTTCAGTGAACTCCCGCATCAGTCGCGCCATAGGCGCGTGTTGCGTCTGGCAGGATGCTACGGTTAATAGGTGGTGACATTTTTCAACAAAAATTTTCTAGAATGTCTACGGCATGATGTAAGCTCATTTCGGTTGTTTAAAAATGGCATTTTTGGTTAACATAGAATAAAATATTTTTCCCATAAACACAAATCACATTTCTTTGTCAATTTGAATAAGATCCAGCGTGTTTTATTTTACATCATTTGATGTTGTATTGAATGTTTTCATCTTTCAAGTTCCACACATGTTTGCTAAGTTCAGTTGAGTTTCTATACCGTTCATTGCGAAATGAGCTTGTGTGATTCCTTGAACTGTGTCGCAAAGTCCGATGAAGGTTTCCTTAGTTGTTTGTGAAGTGACTTCAGCTTTAATTTGTAAATTATGCTTTCTTGGTTACAGTTTCCATTCATGGGGCATGTGTTTGGTTTTCGGCAACGTAGAAACCATAATTTACTAAGCAGAAGGGCACTCCACACGGTGCACAATTCACTGTGTCGGAAGTGCATTTTGGTTAGGCTTTTTACCGTCAAAACGTTGCTATCCCTCCCCTTCCATCTTCCTTTGAATACATGTACACCCAGGCAAACCCACAATTTATTGGCACTTTTGCCACAATTCATTTGGCACTTTCCCCACCGATGAATCAAAGACTGGTTTTGAAGATCATTTTATCGCCCTTTAAAACCCGGAAAAGGAAGTTAAAACAAAATATTGGTATAAAAAATTGTTTTCTTGTTCTTCGATTCAGGGAAATAAGCTCTCAAAACAATGATGCAAAAGCAGTTGAGTTAAGGATGCAAAATGATTGGGGAGTTTTCATCAGCTAGATTTGCAAACAGGCACATTGCCTGAACCTTTAAAAAGGATGCAAAAGCACTATAGAGTTGAGGATGCAAAACTGATTACACAATTTTCATCAGCTAGATTTGCAAACGCGCCAGAGTGACTGAACATTTCATTTTTCGTCATTTGAATCATAAATAAGTCTATCCTATCTAATAAAAGCGATGACAGGTTCTGAGAACTTGTTTCGGACAGAAAACTAAAAAAAAATCCTTCTGTAGTAGTAACAAATTATTTGCAACTAGCTCAGTGGAGCAGGCTTGGGATCGGAATCAAACTCTACTCAACATGAGAGTAGATATCTCATAGAAACTAAATAACGGACTTTTTTATTTTTGAACCGTGTACATGATAATTTAGCTGCTTTCTCCTACATTATAGTTTTAGAAATGAGAGTTGTTACTGTCACGCCCAAAACCGATGATGGTGACGTGTACGTGTAGATATGTCGTTATAACGTTTTCACTATGAGGCCGAAATCCTATGATGAGACCATCCATTGAAAAGATTTTTTTGCTGTCTCTCTATAGCAATAGAATAAAAGCATGAAAATGATTGCGGAGTTTTCATCAGATAGATTTGC